TCCCATGATCAGTTAGTGATGCCTGCCATCGTCACAGGATATAGGAGAGGCACCGTGTGAGCCAGATCTTTGTCACACTTATTCTAGAGCTTATTCTTTTTAAGCCAATGATATGGCAAACCAAATGAACAAAGTCAGCCATCACTGGTCCCATCCCTACCTTCCATGGGGTCTTTACTCATCTCTGCTCTTTAGGGATCTACCGGAAGACCCCCATGACCCCAGAACCTCTTCTCCCAGGCCCGACACTTCTGCCAATGAAGGAATCACGAACTCCTCTTGCTGACATTCGAATGTGCCAATGTGTGAATACAGAGTGTTTAAATACTCAACTATGATCCCGACCCATTTCCTACCATATGTCTAGGTATCCAGGAGATTCTACTGTTCCCTTTGCTCGGAACGTTGCCCGCCCCCGCGCCACGGCCTCCACGAGCACTCAGGTTCCCCTCAGCCAGGTGCCACTTTCCTTCCTTCTCCACAGCATTTTGCCTGTACTTGGGGCTCTTACCTCTCAGGTCCTTGTCTTCTCCCCCCACCTCCCACCAGATTGTGGGCTTTCCGATGGCAGAGGCTACGATTCTTTCACACGTAAGAAATGGCCAAAACATAAGTCCAAGTTAAATTCGCCTGGCCCTCCTCCCCGCAAACTCGCTTCAAAATAATATGTTGGGCATGTCCAGTATTTCTGAGCATTTTTTAACGTAAATACCTTGGCCGGTAGAGTTTTCGCCACAAATGTTTCCACTGCAGAACTAATGTGCCGTGTAAGTCAATTTCGTCATAAAAGATATAAATAATTGGTTGACAGTTTGGTTTCATTTCTCCATTGACAAATCAATTCAAATACATTAAACACTTAATGTATTTAAGCTAGTTGTTTCTCCATTGATAAATCGATTTAGATACATTAAATACTCAATGTATTTAAGCTAGTTGTTATGACAGTTTGGTTTCATTTCATTTCTCCACTGACAAGTTCTCAGTACTCTCGTTTTTAGATTTTATAAATCTGAGCCCTCAAAATGGTCTGTCTACACAGTGGAAAGTAGATGGGGTGGTCTGAAAATAGTGGATGATAACGACAATACAAATCGACTTGATAGAGAATATGATAATAAAACTTACTGGGCCAGATTGCATACTATACTAGAAAACGATGACATACCAGTCCGCAAACCCTGGGGTAATCCTGTACATATTGCAGACAATAGCATTTCCCATAGAGCTTTGGAACATCTATCAATGGACATGTGACAACATGTGAATACAAATCGACAATTAAAAACAAATGTATAGCAATAAAGTCTTTTTAATTTTGTTATGTACTTTCCCCTGTTTCATTATGTCCTTTTACAGCAGAACTGCCCGATGCCGAATTAGTTCTGCAGTGAAAATGTTTGCTGTGAAATGCTTGCGGCCAAGATGTTTAGTGTGAAAACACCCAGAACCTGTGTTGGGGATTTAACTGTTTTACCTCTGAGGAGTATTATGACATCCAATTAGAGTCCCTGAGACGGGGGTGGTGGTAGGGGGTGGGGAAGAGAACGATGCTTAATGCATGCATGAGCCTCCCTGGAAGGACTGCTGTAATGCTCAGGAAGACCATTTCCCTCCTCGAGACACCCAGCCAACGGCCTCCCTGGGAGGGAGATGACTCTGGATGAAGTCTAGGGCAGGAGGTGGCAAAAACGGCCTGCAGGTCAAACCTGGCTCACCATCTGTTCTCAGAAGGTCCATAGCTAAGAAGAATTTCTTATATTTTTAAATGGTTGGGGGTGGGAGGGGGTGGGGAAGAGTATTCTGTGATGTGTAAAACGATATGAAATTTCAGTGTTCATAAATCAAGTGTAGTGGAACATGGCCACACCCACCCGTTCGTGTACCGTCCATGGCTGTTCCCCCATGTAACAGCCAAAATGAGTAGTCATGACTGAGACCGCATGGCCCAGAAAGATTAAAATATTTCCTATCGGGTCCTTTATAGAGAAGTTTCCCAACTCCTGTTTTAAAGAGGGTACTAGGTCAAGTCTACTGTCCTTAGCTACTGGCCTTGGTCCAAGAAAATCATCCAAACCAGTCCTGATGGCACCGGGGACAACAGGAGGAGGCATGGCTGGACTCTCGCCGTGTGCCGAATCCACGCATAGAACTGTGGCCCCAAAGTCTGGGCAGAGAGGAGAATGAGGGACAGGAGATGACCAGCTAAGAGACCTCTGCTTTTCAATGTCTTCCCCAACTTGGATACCTAAGTGGGAAGACATGAGATCTGTCACCTTTCCAAACTGCTTGTTAGCTTTTTGACAAGTGAAGGCAAGAGACCGGAGATCAAAAGCTCAGATTTTGGTGAAAAGCAGACCTGAGTTACGGCGCTAGCTTGATCACTTCCTGGGACCTCGCGCGAGCTGCTTACAGTTTTTAAAGCCCAGTTTTTTCATTTGCAAAATGCAGAGAGCAATAACACCCAGTTTGTAGATTATGAGGACAAAATGAAATAAAGCATGAAAAACGCCTAGTACGTGAATAGTTAATAACATTCTGTTCACTAATCTTAGAAAAAATGATGATATTATGGAAAGAATATAAACTTTGAGACAGATAGATCTTGGAGTTCAAATCTCAGCTCCATCACGAACTAGCTTTGCAGCCTTGCCTCTCTGCCTCACATATTGCTTCTCTATGAAATAAGGAAAATTCATACCAACTTCATAGGGTTTTATGGGGATTGAAGGCTTATGGTAATAAAGCGCTCAGTCCCATGCATGGCATGAAGAGGACATTCAGCAAAGGTCAGACCTTCCTCTTCTCTTCCTACCTGGTTCTGGACACTGAATCTCGCCTACATGTGATGATCTGGCTGAGGAACACGTGCCCTCTCCACCTGCCCCAAGTTAAAAGGCCACGGAGCTGTTCGGCACCAGACGTCCACGTAGAAGGGCCTTAGTATTAATCCCGTGTCTCGCCTGTAACCAAACTCACATTTGTAGCCAGCCAGCCAGCCCCATCACCAGTTGCATTTCCTTCTGCAAATAACCGTGGTAGAGCAGGCATGAAGGACAGGCAAGCATAATGAAAGGTCACAGATGAATATTTATCACCCAAGGGACAGAGATTTGGATTATGGTTTGGCAGACTTAACGGACTAGCCATGTAACCTGTCAAGCCCATTTTAAAGGCTATAACTTAATTTGTGTTAAAGGGTCCAAAGTAGGCTGGGTTAACGACCCTCTGCCCAGCTGTCTGCCGTGCCTGTGGGTTTACAGACTCCCGACCACTGGGGTCCCGCCTCCTGCCCGGAGTGGGCTCCTGGCCCCGAGAACACTGCACCCCAGCCAACCTCGCTGCATCACCTCCTGTCACCTCTGCCCTCCTGTGTGCCTCGGTGAGCTGGCTCCGCTCTGCTTCCTCCTTCTGTCTGTCTAGCTCTCCTTTCTCTCTCTCTCGTTTTCTTCGTCCTTCTGTTAACTAAGGAGTATTTCCCGAGAGCTGGCCTTGTGCGGGGCACTGTGGGAGACGAGGAGTTCCTGAACAGAACAAGGCGGGGTTTAGGTCTAGCTGACACTGTACCTTTAAAAGCACGAAAGGTCATGACAGAAATTCTCTCGAGAAAACAGTCTGAGGTAACGCTGTCATAAAGCATTCAGAAAAGGCCACTGTAGGTGACCAAGGAAGGCCTCCTCCAGGAGGTGACCCCAAGTTAGGATCCGATGGTGAGAAAGGAGCTGGTGGACAGCAAAGCCACGCAGAGGGGACCGGACATGCACAGGCCCGAGGTAGGAACAAGCCGGCGTGTTTAAGGAACAGAAAAGAAGTCAGTGTGGCCAGAGGGGTGTGAGGAAGAAAAGAGCTGGAAAGAGAGGCCCTGGAGAGGCAGGCAGGGGTCAGGCGGTGACAAACTTGCAGGCCTCCCTTAGGAGTTTTGATTTTAGTAGAAGAGCAATGTGGCACTATTTAAGTTCGTGGAACCTGCCAGGTGCCTTCCGCTCATGTCTCTGCACAGGATGGTCCTTTCGTCTGCCTGGGACATTCTGCCCACCTCTCACTAGCCTTTGGCTCGTTACTCACCTTAAACCTCCCCTTCCTCAAGGAAGCCTCTCTGCCCTCCTAACCACAGCACCCCGCATGGCTTCCACTTGGCACTGACCGCATTTTTACAAATACATATTTAATGGTGCAATTGGTTGTTCAATGTTTCTTTTTCTGATTGGACTATAAGCTCCTTGAGGTAGGACCCCTTTGTGAATATAATCTCCAGCACTCAGCATAATGCTTGGTGCAGAGTCAAAGCTTGATAGTATTCATTACAAGCATGAATGAATGAATGAATGAGTGAGCAACTGAATTAACCAGCGAATGCAACATTTAGAATTTCCTGAGATGGGTCCTTTGGATCCCACACTGGACACTAGAACTGGCACCATGGCAACGATCCTGGCAGCAGCTCTGAGCCCTAAGACGGGGCCCAGTGGGCTGCCCACGTCTGGCCCCTTGGTCGGGGCATTCTCCAAGGATACACTGGCCGGGGGCATTCTTCACGTCATCCCCGGGGGCGGAGGTGGTGTTCATCTTCTCCGCGTTGGGGAACTGGCTCAGCAGCTGCATCTGGAAATCTTCTCTCCGCTCATACTCCTTCCCTCGGTAGATGAACACTTTGTTCTGCAGAGAAACGACACCTGTCAGAAATCTCAGGGCCCGGGCTTGGAGGACGTGGGCCAAGCAAAGCCAGAAGCTTGTGACAGGACTACTGGGCGATGGTGACCGCCTAGAGATCCTTCTCCTCTCTGTTTCCCACCAAGGAAAGGAGGAGCTCAATCACTGACCTTCCAGCTGGGCACGCCATTCCTTTAAAAAGATTGGTTCTCAAGGGAGAGGAGATCGTGGATGCTGAGAACTTCTTCAAACTACCCTAGGCACAGTTTCCAGAATAATTCCTCACTCAGCTTTCGCTATGTCACACCTACTCTCCTGTGCACATGATCGCAAGATTTCGCTCCTGCCTTTACTGGGCCATGTGGGCTGGGGCTGCAGGATGGAAGGGACCAGCATTAAAGTCCTTTCTCACTTGGCTTCTGGCCTGAGCTCTCCAAGGGAACGCATTTCACCTGCCTTGGCCACGCGAGCCTCTTCTAGACTAGTAGTTGTCAAATAGGGTATGATTTTGCCTCCTAAGGGACACTGCCAATGTCTGGAAATATTTTTGGTTGTCACAACTCAGGGAAGGGGGACTACTGGAACCTAGTGGGGAGAGGCCCGAGATGCTGCTAAACATCTGTTAATGCACAGGATGGTGCCGCAATGAATGACCTAGTTCAAAATGTCAACAGAGCTGAGGTTCAGAAATGCTGTTCTAGATCAGATCTGTGCAGCCTCTGATGGCTTCTAAGTTCTTCTGTCCAAACTCACATCTGTCACTTCCATACATCAGTGCTTCTAAACCTGGTGGATCATCAGAGGAGCCTAGGAGACTTTTAGAAGTTCAGATTCCTAGGCCTCACTCTAGACAGGCTAGAAGCTGTGGGAGTAGGACCCGGGCATATGTATTTTTAGCAAGTTCCTCGGGGGGTTCTGATGATACGATCGGGTTTGAGATGTCACCTCTCTTCCATCGAGGAAACGCTCACCATCTACTCCTTCTGCAGCTCATGTCCACTCTGGCTTCCACGGTGACTGATAACGGTGACTGATTCATCTTTTTGATTAGATCATATATCGAGTGGGATCGGAGATCAGATTTACTGTTTCTTTTGTATCTTCCTGAGCTCAGAATTGAACCACAGGCTCAGACCGGAAGGAAGCCTATAGCTGACCTAATCCAACTCTC